GGTTGGCCTTTTGTGTACCCAAGGCAGGTGAAGGTAGTCAACTTAGGAGCGCTGTGATTGGATGTAAGGATACAATATATTTTTTTATTTATCTATGAATAACTGCAGTGTGTATATTTACAATATACATTTTGAAACCCATTGAAATAATTTCTAGAGAATTATTCGAAAAGACTTCCAAAATTTCATAAATTTGGTGTAAAATGACGGTGGGCATGGATAACATAAACAAGCTCCATTGGAAGTTGGTCATGATACTATCATGACTATTTGGCTTCAATTTTTAAAACAGAGTAATAAAGTACCAACACCACACATAACTGTTTTGTCCAGGTTTTTATTATAAAAAGTGGTAAATTTAGAAAATGTTAGTATTGTCGTCTAAGGCTGAATAAATAGTACCGTTTTCTCTTAAGGAAATTTTGCAGATTTTTTTGTTATTATCTTGAATATTATTATAGATAGATTTAAACTGTAAACAGCAATAATGTTCAGCAAAGTAAGATCTATAAAAAAGTTTTATATGAACAAAATTGACAATTGACCCCTTAAGGAGTCATTGCCCTTTAAAGGACAATTTTACAGAAGTTTTTATGTTTTTTAACTTTAAAAATGTTTTTAAATGAATCTTGTATAAATTTTGTATTTTATTTCCTTGTACGTCAAGAAACATAGACACTACGGCTAAAATGCAATTATTTGCTTTTGAAGAAAATATGACAGATACATGGCATTTTTAAGCCACTCATTAATATATATTGAATAGCAAAAATAATTGCTGATGAAAGATTTAAGCAAAAAAATAACAGGTGAGCGATTCAGGCTCTTGAGAGCCTCTTGTTTTTCAATTGAGACTTAAATTATACATCAAATGACATTCACATTTCTTCTTTTCATTGTTGTACTCACAATACCTGAAACAAAAGGAGTCAGGGGTACTACTTGTACAAGTCATCTTTATTTACTTGAAAAAGTAAAAAAAATATACTTATATAAGTTAATTATAATGTTTGAATAATCTCCCCTTAATTTTCTTATAAATTCACTTGTATAGGTGAATTATTTTTTCAATCTCACAAAAATTCTCAAGTTTTGAGATGTAAAAACATGCCTTTAATGATTTTCCTAGGTTTAAAGCTCATAAATTTTTATTAGAGTTCAATGTTTCATCTCATTAATTCAGCAAAGAAACGGAGGCCTTCAAAAATTGTTCCTTATGGGCTTGTAAATCAGCAGTGTTCTGAAGATAACAAACAAATGGGATTTTCATTGTCAATGAAATTACACTTAAATGATTAGTAAAGACATCTGCAAAGGGCAGACAATTTAAAATTATATTAGAGCAAAGAAATCCTAAGATTTCAAGAAAAGAAGACAGGAAGACTTTTTCACTTATATAGGTAAACAAATCTGAATGTCTAAGGGACAATAACTTAGCCAATTTGTTTTTAAATTTACTTGTATAGGGAAAAAAAATTGGCTAAGTTATAAAGTAAATAAAATTTACTTGTATAAGTATCCTACAAATTTACTTATATAAATATATTAATCTTCAAGTAAATATAAAATACTTGTACAAGTAAACAGACTTAATGGGGTCAATTACATTGGAATGTAATTAATTAAATTACACATTACATTGCAAAAATGATCGATTACACTAATTACAATTAATTGCACAGTTTTTGAAATGTAATTCATTAGATTAAAATTACTTTACTAAAGTAATTTATTAAACAATGTTAAATTACACATTACATTTTATCATAATTTTTTTTAAACAACATATATTTAGCATGTGTAAAATCATTATCTCCATTTTTATAATCAATTTATGTAAATGACATAGAAATTGAGTTAATTAAACAAGGAATAGAACCATATAAAGTAAAAATGTTAAATTTTTATCTTTTTATGTAGGCTGATGGTACAGTTCTCTTCAGCGAAAGTATTTCTGAATTACAAAAAATTATAGTCCCTGTATATGATAGTTCATACAAAAATGGTCTTGACATTAATTTAAGAAAATCCAAAATAGTTGTTTTTCCTAACAGAGGTGTACTGAAAGAGAATGAAAAATGGTACTTGAATGGTAAAATAATAGAAATGTGTGATCAGTTTGTATATCTTGGTTTGTTATCAAATTATAAAGGAACTTTTACTGTAACACAGAAAACACTTTCTGAACAGGGTAGAAAGGCTACATTTTGTTTATTGAGTAAGATTTATGATGATTGTTATAATACTGAGACTTTGATATCCTTATTTGATACATATGTAACAAGTATTGTGAATTATGGTTGTGAAATATGGGGTTTTCATAACGGAGCTGATATAGAAACGCTTCATTTGTATTATTTAAAAAGAATTTTGAAAGTGAGAAAAGGGACTGTAAACCATATGGTGTATTTTGATCTTGGGCGTTTACCATTGTATGTAAATAGATATGTAAGAATGGTACGTTATTGGGTGAAGTTATTAGAATCTAATAATTATATATATATTGAAGAGTATTTATGAAGATATGTACAAATCTAGTTTTGTCAAACTGAATGATAAACTCAACTGGAGTTGTAAGATAAGAGACATACTAAACAGGTATGGATTTAATGATATATGGTTAGCACAAAGTGTTGGAAATAAACTATTATTTTTGTATGAATTTAAAAAAAGATTTGTTGATAATTATATAGCTGAAGGCTTGTCATTTTTTGAAAATACTTCAAAATGTAATTTTGTTTCAATATATACATGATGGACATACTTTGCAATTTTATTTGAATCGACCATTGAACAGTTTATTCCAGTCGTATGTAACTAAATATAGAATCAATTCACATTCACTTAATGTAAAACCTGAAGGATACTTTAATATTTCAGAAATGAGCGTGTTTGTACTATGTGTGATAAGAAAGTAATCGAAGACGAATATCATTTTATATAAAAATGTGATAAATATGTAAATGTCAGAAGTAAATATATTAAGATATATCATTATAGAAACCCATCTACTTTCCAGCTAGTTCAGTTATTATCTGTAAAATATATTAAGGAATTAAATAATCTGGGTAAATACCTTTATGAGGCAGAGAAAGTTCGTAACACTTAGTTTTTTGTTATGACCCTGTATTACCAATGTAAATTGTATGCCAAACTCTGTTTAATCCTATGACCTGTATTTGCTTTATATGGAATAAAGTATTATTATCATCAACACCATAAAAGTACATGTAATTGAAATGTAATTCAAAAGTTATTTAGCATTACATGCTTTTATCATTGTAATTAATTAAATTACCATTACATGTATTTAAAAAAAAATGTTCAATTACACATTACATTCATTTACATAGAAAATTGTAATGCATTACACTTAATTACCATTATATTTTCAATTACCCCATCCCTGCAAGTAGTACCCCTGACTGAATTAATTCAAGCATATAATTGTTGAAACACACCTCCGCCAAAAAGAATGTTTGTTCTGGTTGCATGTGGCATTGTTCATAAAAAATTGGGTTAGTCGGTGGAACTTTTTTCAACGCTTTTACAGTTAGTGCTTGTTAATCCAGATGATTTTAGGATAACTATTTATATGCTAAACTAAAGAAGAGCTTTTTTCAAAGTCGTTACTCGTTACTTGGGATATATATACATGATGTATTGGCAAAAGAATAGCTTTTTTACCCTTCACACAAAAACTAATAAATTTCACAAGAGACCAAGTGACACAGAAAGAAACAGTTATAGGTCACTGTACGGCCTTCAACAATGAGCAAAGCCTATAGCTATAAATTCAGAAATTATTGCATCCATTTATTTTTACGATTTTGTCATTTAAAACAAAAAATGCGATTTAATTTTTTGCGAAATTGACTAGAATCCTGTTTTATTCATATAAAAATTTTCAAAATGCGAGTTTAAATTATTGCAATTATAACCCTATGGCACTTTCACAAAAACAGAAACATCACAATAATTTCTGAATTTACATATTAATAGATTAAAAATAATGTTTTTGTCATTGTACACATGATAACAGTAACATACACATGATACTCCTTTTTAGCTCACCGTTCCGAAGGAACGGTGAGCTTTAGCCATCACTTGGCCTCTGACGTCGTTGTCGTCGTTTGTCTGGTGTAAACTATTTCAAACATCTTCTTCTCTGAAACTACTGAACCAAATCCAACCAAACTTAAGCTGAATGACCCTTAGGGTATCAAGAATAAACTTTGTGTTTTATTTTTTGTTTCGTCAAAAAACATGGCCACCATGGCTAAAAATAGAACATAGGGGTAAAATGTATTTCTTTGCTTTTGAAGAAAATATGAACATATCAATGGAATTTTTAAGCCATTCATTAATTTATATATTAAAAAGCAAAAATAATCATTGATGAAAGATTTAAGCAAAAATTTGCAGGTGAGCGATTCAGGCTCTTGAGAGCCTCTTTTTTATAGGAATTAACTGAGATGTACAGTGTATGAAAACTTTTTTCTGGAACTAGCCACATTGGCGAGCAGTTTTTCGTTTCAACTCACCAAATTAAAATCCCACTTGCCAGCTTGGTGAGTTTTTAAAATTTTGAACTCGCCATCTTATTCATACCTTAATGCAATGTTATAAACATTTTTCGAAAAAGGTTAATTTTAGTTTATCAGAAAATTATATCAAATGTCAGCTTGTCTGGCAAAAATTAGAAAACAGTCAATAAATGAAAAAAAATATACTCTTTTTTTGTTTCAACCTGTCCAATATTCATGATGTTATTTAATACACTTTGAATTCTTGCATTTGTCCATTCATGCCATATAAATGATATGATACACATAGAGGTCTTGAAATCTTTTTTCCCTGGTGGTCCTTGAGGAAAATATGGTGGTCCTCCCCTACTGAAAATGTAAAGTGGGATTTCACTAAAAATACCAGTGGAGTTTCATCAGAGTTGCATTGGAATACCACTGTATTACCACTGGGAAATTTGGTCGGTATTTTCATTGGACATTCATTGTTTTCCATTGGGATATCAGTGGAATATCCAGTGGGATTCCGGTGAATACTCGAGTGGAATACAGTGGAAATTCCATTGGAATACCAGTGAAAACTTCGTTGGAATACCATTGTTTTCCCACTGGACATTTATTGTTTTCAACTGGGATACCAGTGGTAATTCCATTAGAAATTGTAACAATCAACCAAAGAAAACCAGTGATATTTCAATGGAAATTGACATTTCCACTGAAATGTAAATATCATTTTGCATGCTCTGCTTATTTTTGAATGAATTAATAAGAAAACTTGAAATAAGACAATAACCATTTTAATGCAAGTCAACAATCAAAGAAATTACAACAGTTTATACATTATCCACATTTAAGACCTTTTAAACGAAAAGATCAACCTCTTTAAAATATTAATGTTGATAAATTATCATTTTTTAGTCAAAGATGTACATGTATTTACTTAATTGTACATGTAAATCATTTTTCTGGTTAAATCATTCATAAGTCCATGGTAACTTCTGGTCCTCTTGAAATCTTTCACAAATGGTTTTAATTTTCAATTTTACAAATTTGTTTATTTTGCATTAAACAAACAAAAATGTCCAGTTTACATGCATACGAAATACTTTGTCAGTTTGTTCAGTTTTCTTCATCATCCATTGATGTTATTCATGAATTAAGTCCAAAGTTTCTGCATTCCAATCCTGTTCCATTAAGTCTTCATCATGTTCATTGATTAATCTGAAAGAAAAAAAATCATACATCATAACATGCATAGAATTTTGAATTAAAATAACATTACAATACCATGCTCCAGTCTGCAATTATTCAAAAATATATGTTACTGGCATATTTTTTTTGTGTTTGTTTAATTTATTCACAACATTTATACACTAAGAGCAATTTAGACACATGTATGTCTATTGTCGAAGACTATGTGTTCTCTAGATATCTTTGGCTATAGTTGTTGGGTTGCTGTCTCTTAGACTTATAACACACATCTCTTTTTATCAAAATAGACTTTTATAGTTCATGGATCAGGTGTCTCTCAGAGGCCAAATAAAATAGTATGTGTGGTTCCAGTTACATTTAAAAAATGTTTCTTTTTCTCTGAAACTACTGAACCAAATCCAACCAAACTTAAGCTGAATGACCCTTAGGGTATCAAGAATCAAATTTGTGTTTTATTTTTTGTTTCGTCAAAAAACATGGCCACCATGGCTAAAAATAGAACATAGGGGTAAAATGTATTTCTTTGCTTTTGAAGAAAATATGAACATATCAATGGAATTTTTAAGCCATTCATTAATTTATATATTAAAAAGCAAAAATAATCATTGATGAAAGATTTAAGCAAAAAATTGCAGGTGAGCGATTCAGGCTCTTGAGAGCCTCTTTTTTATAGGAATTAACTGAGATGTACAGTGTATGAAAACTTTTTTCTGGAACTAGCCACATTGGCGAGCAGTTTTTCATTTCAACTCACCAAATTAAAATCCCACTTGCCAGCTTGGTGAGTTTTTATACGACCGCAAAAAAATTTTTGTGGTCGTATATTGGTATGACGTTGGCGTCGTCGTCGTCCGGCGTCGTCGTCGTCGACGTCGTCGTCGTCGTCGTCGTCGTCCGGCGTCGTCCTGCGTCGTCCGAAGACACATTGGTTTTCGCACTCTAACTTTAGTTTAAGTGAATGGATCTTTATGAAATTTTACCACAAGGTTCAATACCACAAAAGGAAGGTTGGGATTGATTTTGGGGGTTATGGTAATAACAGTAAAGGAATTAGGGGCCACAAAGGGGCCAAAAATAAGCATTTTTGTAACTTCCAGACATAACTTGTGTGTTAGTGTATGGATCTCTCTGACATTGTACCACAAGGTTCCATATCACTAAAGGAATGCTGGGATTGATTTTGGGGGTTAATTGCCTCCAAATTTTAGGAATTAGGGGCCAAAAAAGGGGCAAAAAACAAGCATTTTTCTAGTTTCATGACAATAACTTGTGTGTAAGTGTATGGATCTTTCTGAAATTGTACTACAAGGTTCCATATCACAAAGGGAAAGCTGGGTTTGAGTTTGGGGGTAATTGTCCTAAACGTTTAGGAATTTGGGGCCAAAAAGGGGCCATAAAACACATTTTTTTCTAGTTTCCAGACAATAACTTGTGTTCAAGTGTATGGATCTCTCTGAAATTGTACTGCAAGGTACCATACCACAAAGGGAAGGCTGGGATTGAGTTTGGGGGTGATGAATCATAATGGGGGTTCAAAAAATTTTGGGGGGGAATTTATTTTTTTTTCCTTTTTTTTCTTTTTTTCCTTTTTTGTTTCTTTTAAAATTTTCCATTTTAAGTTGGTTATTTCTGATTTATATTTAAAATCAAATAATAATGATATGGTAGGAGATACACACCAAACAGGATGTGTAAATTATTATATAATAAGTATTGTGCAATAGCAAGAAATTTTCAATTGCACAGTATTGCACAATAGCAAGAAATCTTCAATTGCACAGTATTGCGCAATAGCAAGAAATCTTCAATTGCACAGTATTGCGCAATAGCGAGAAATATCCAATAGCACAATATTGCGCAATAGCAAGAAATTGTCAATTGTACAGTATTGCGCAATAGCAAGAAATATTTAATAGCACAGGATTGTGCAAAAGAAGATACTTCCTATAAATTGCTTATTTCTTGACCAATTTCAATGGGGTTTTATTCTTGATTTCATGGGGTTCTTTAATATGCTGAATATAACCGTGTATTTAGTTTTTGGATTTTGGGCCCCGTTTTTAAATTGGTCCACATTGAGGTCCAAAGGGTCCAAAATTAAACTTTGTTTGATTTCATCAAAAATTGAATTATTGGGGTTCTTTGATATGCCGAATCTAACTGTGTATTTAGATTCTTAAATTTTGGTTCCGTTTTCAAATTGGTCTACATTAAGGTCCAAAGGGTCCAAAATTAAACTTAGTTTGATTTTAACAAAAATTGAATTCTTAGGGTTCTTTGATATGCTGAATCTAAACATGTATTTAGATTTTTGATTATGGGCCCAGTTTTCAAGTTGGTCCAAATCGGGGTCCAAAATTAAACTTTGTTTGATTTCAACAAAAATTGAATATATGGGGATCTTTGATATGCTGAATCTAACCATGTATTTAGATTTTTGATTTTTGGGCCCCGTTATCAACTTTGTCCACATTGAGGTCAAAAGGGTCCAAAATTAAACTTTGTTTGATTTCATCAAAAATTGAATTATTGGGGTTCTTTGATATGCCGAATCTAACCGTGTATTTAGATTCTTAATTTTTGGTTCCGTTTTCAAATTGGTCTACATTAAGGTCCAAAGGGTCCAAAATTAAACTTAGTTTGATTTTAACAAAAATTGAATTCTTAGGGTTCTTTGATATGCTGAATCTAAACATGTATTTAGATTTTTGATTATGGGCCCAGTTTTCAAGTTGGTCCAAATCGGGGTCCAAAATTAAACTTTGTTTGATTTCAACAAAAATTGAATATATGGGGTTCTTTGATATGCTGAATCTAACCATGTATTTAGATTTTTGATTTTTGGGCCCCGTTATCAACTTTGTCCACATTGAGGTCAAAAGGGTCCAAAATTAAACTTTGTTTGATTTCATCAAAAATTGAATTCTTGGGGTTCTTTGATATGCTGAATCTAACCATGTATTTAGATTTTGGATATTGGACCATAATAGGTGAATGTCCAATTTAAAATTTTTAAGTTCTTAGACCACATTCAATCTGTGTTAGAAACCTATGCTGTGTCAAATATTTAATCACAATCCAAATCCGAAGCTGTATCAAGCTTGAATGTTGTGTCCATACTTCCCCCAACTGTTCAGGGTTCGACCTCTGCGGTCGTATCAAGCTGCGCCCTGCGGAGCATTTTATTAAAATTTTGAACTCGCCATCTTATTCATACCTTAATGCAATGTTATAAACATTTTTAGAAAAAGGTTTATTTTAGTTTATCAGAAAATTATATCAAATGTCAGCTTGTCTGGCAAAAATTAGAAAACAGTCAATAAATGAAAAAAAATATACTCTTTTTTTGTTTCAACCTGTCCAATATTCATGATGTTATTTAATACACTTTGAATTCTTGCATTTGTCCATTCATGCCATATAAATGATATGATACACATAGAGGTCTTGAAATCTTTTTTCCCTGGTGGTCCTTGAGGAAAATATGGTGGTCCTCCCCTACTGAAAATGTAAAGTGGGATTTCACTGAAAATATCAGTGGAGTTTCATCAGAGCTCCATTGGAATACCACTGTATTACCACTGGGAAATTTGGTCGGTATTTTCATTGGACATTCATTGTTTTCCATTGGGATATCAGTGGAATATCCAGTGGGATTCCGGTGAATACTCGAGTGGAATACAGTGGAAATTCCATTGGAATACCAGTGAAAACTTCGTTGGAATACCATTGTTTTCCCACTGGACATTTATTGTTTTCAACTGGGATACCAGTGGTAATTCCATTAGAAATTGTAACAATCAACCAAAGAAAACCAGTGATATTTCAATGGAAATTGACATTTCCACTGAAATGTAAATATCATTTTGCATGCTCTGCTTATTTTTGAATGAATTAATAAGAAAACTTGAAATAAGACAATAACCATTTTAATGCAAGTCAACAATCAAAGAAATTACAACAGTTTATACATTATCCACATTTAAGACCTTTTAAACGAAAAGATCAACCTCTTTAAAATATTAATGTTGATAAATTATCATTTTTTAGTCAAAGATGTACATGTATTTACTTAATTGTACATGTAAATCATTTTTCTGGTTAAATCATTCATAAGTCCATGGTAACTTCTGGTCCTCTTGAAATCTTTCACAAATGGTTTTAATTTTCAATTTTACAAATTTGTTTATTGTGCATTAAACAAACAAAAATGTCCAGTTTACATGCATACGAAATACTTTGTCAGTTTGTTCAGTTTTCTTCATCATCCATTGATGTTATTCATGAATTAAGTCCAAAATTTCTGCATTCCAATCCTGTTCCATTAAGTCTTCATCATGTTCATTGATTAATCTGAAAGAAAAAAAATCATACATCATAACATGCATAGAATTTTGAATTAAAATAACATTACAATACCATGCTCCAGTCTGCAATTATTCAAAAATATATGTTACTGGCATATTTTTTTTGTGTTTGTTTAATTTATTCACAACATTTATACACTAAGAGCAATTTAGACACATGTATGTCTATTGTTGAAGACTATGTGTTCTCTAGATATCTTTGGCTATAGTTGTTGGGTTGCTGTCTCTTAGACTTATAACACACATCTCTTTTTATCAAAATAGACTTTTATAGTTCATGGATCAGGTGTCTCTCAGAGGCCAAATAAAATAGTATGTGTGGTTCCAGTTACATTTAAAAAAAAATTAGGGTAGGTATAGGTAAAGATTTTTTTTATTTTATGGCTTTTTTTTACATTGAGTCTATGGGAGTAACATTCTGACTTAAACAGTGAAAAATGACAAAAAAATCTTTAGGGTAGGCTATTGTTAAGACTAAAAAAAAGGTAGGTAAGGTAATTGGAACCATGCATATATTTTTATTTAGCCTCATATTATCTTTCCCTTTGTGTTGTGTTTGTTGTTGGTTTACTATCTGTGTTTACAGCTTATAGATGTGAATGATTAATGTATTTTTATTTCAAGTGTGGGAAGGATGAAAAAATAATTCAATAAGTACCTTTCAATAATCTTATACTCAAATTTCTTTTCTGCTGCTGGTTTGTTTGTTTTCATCGTGTTTTCATATTATTGAGTGGGTATTGATCGATGCACAGTCATCATTTTTGCAGCTTTGTACCTTCACCATGAAAAATCCCTTTTAATATATGGACAACCTAAAAAAAATATGTAAAGACATTTTATTAATAATTTTCAATTCTGGTCATGACCTGTATGCATCATATATTACTGATATTTATCATACAATGTACATATATAATTAAGAAGCTTCTTTCATTTAAGTATAAAGATTCTAAAACACAATATTAACCTTTAGGGAATTTTTGTGTTGCATGTCCATCCAAATCAGAACATGACAAAATTAAGTTGAATGTGCCGGAAATTGTGTAGTAAACATCTTTCCTTGATTGAATAAAATTATTATTACATTCCCCCTTTTCAGAACACCAAATGGTCATCCTCAAAGTGTGAACTAACGGAGCCTATGAATGAAACTAAAGGGGGTGTATATCTTTTTTTAAATTTTAATTAAAAATATTCATGATCAAATGTAAAATCTCTTAAAAATTACCTGTATCTGCTGTACGTCTGTCCTACATCAGCACATCGTCTCATCGTAAATTCTTGGTTCAACAGCTAATGTCATGCCTAAATGTTCTGATTTAATGTCTATTTCTTTATTTATCGAAGGTTGTTGAGTATTAATAATAATTAACATGATTAATGTAACCACAGCTGGACAGGATACATACTCGTACAATATTTTTAGTTTCAAATTTGAACACATTCCGTGAATTAATGATAACGACGATCTGATTGGCCGATCGGAAATCCCGGAAATTGAGTTATCCAATCAAATCAGCGGTTATATTTATAGTCTGGTAGAAAAAAATGGCAGCCTCCATGAATCAACCCATTTATACAAATTATATATAAATGAACTAACTGAAGAGCTAGAAAGAAGAGGGTTAGGTTTAAATATAGGTCTTGAATATTGTGGAAGTCCATTATGCGCTGATGATATTGTATTAATGACCACAGATGAAACAGAAATCCATGCAATGTTAAATATTGCCTACAAATTTTCCTGTCAGCATCGCTACAATATTCATCCAGAAAAGAGTACACTTATCAAAACAGAGAGGATAAAAACAAGCAAACAACAACATTCTATAACTCTGGGAGAAAAACCAATAAAAGAAGACCAACAGACAACCCATCTTGGCATTATCAGAGCAAGTAAGAATGAAACAAAACTGAATATACAAGAACATATCAGTGTAGCTAGGAGGACACTATATACTTTAATTCCTGTTGGACTAAATGGACAAGAAGGGCTAAACCCTATAACAGCATACAAAATATATCAAGCTTATGTGCTCCCAAGACTGCTATACGGATTAGAAGTACTATCACTGAATGCCACCCAAATGTCAGATTTAAAGCAATTCCACCTCAAAACTCTGAGATGCTTCCAATCATTGCCAATTAGGACATCTAGTGCAGCAGTTTATATGCTGTTAGGAGCCCTTCCGATTGAGGCAGAGTTGCACAAAAGACAGTTGAGTCTCTTGTATTCCATACTAGCATCAGAAAACACAAAGCTGAAAAATGTAATGGAACGACAGATGACCGTAAATGCAGGGAACTCTGACAGCTTCTTTTCAAGAGCACAAGAAATCCTGAATTTCTACAATCTACCATCAATAGCAGAATTCAAGGAACATCTACCCTCAAAAATCCGTTGGAAAAAAGATACTAACAGGAGCATTGCAGATAAGTGGTCAAACCTTTTAAAAAAAGAAATGGAAGAAAAATCCACACTGAAACATTGTAACATCCAAATACTTAAGATACATGAAGCCCATCCCGTATGGAGAACCTTACCTCCAGTAACATACGAGGTAAAAAAAGCGAACATTAAAGCTAGGTTTCTGACAGGAACATACCTATTACAAGAACATATTCAAAGGTTTAATGGAAATAGTGATGAGCAAAAATGCCTGCTGTGTCAAATAGAACAGGAAGACTTAATACATTTCCTACTAAGATTCCCAGCATTAAATGAACAACGTCAAAAAGTGTTTCCTGCACTTAAACAAGCTATAATGTGCAATATAGGCCAGAATAAGTGGCAAGAACACTTCAATTGAAACAAAGAATTACTAATGCAAGTAATTATTGACTCAAGCAAAGTACGGGAAAATATTCTAATTCTCAACGAAGAAACTTCAACAGAGATAGAAAGAATAAGCAAAAAACTGTGCTATGACCTCCATTGTGGAAGAACATTATTACACAAAAGGATAGATGTAGCAAGGCAGTTTGAGGCAAAAGACCCCGGGTGCGAAGACTAAATAACTAGAAATTAAAAATAAATAAAGTTAGTTAATTATCAGATAAATATCTTAAACGGAAACTTAGTGGAAGCTAAAATGGAAAAAGTAACACAAAAAGGAAAATTCAATATTTTAGTTTTTTAAAAGCCAAAATTGGTAATGTGGAAGATTAAATATTTTAGATTTTATAAAAGTTCTATGATTCCTTTAATCCACTTGGATATTGAACTGTAGAACAACTGGTATAATATAATAATACCGATGTAAATTCTGTACAGCAAAATAAAAATTATTATTAATTTTAGTGGTGTACATAGTAACGATAAATCCCAGACCATTAAATAGTAATCTATATTTTTATTTATTTTATTTTTTAATAATTTTTTTTTAATTTTTTTTACTCAAGAAATAAATAAACTCAAGCATGTCCTTTAGTTTTTACTATTAAATCTATTTCACTCCTTTTAGACCTGTGCATTTAAGATATCTTAACTAACAATATTTTATCCTTAATGTACATAAAATAGTAGGTGTAAATATTTTTATAATAGATTTTACATTACTACGTGATTTTAGGACAACAATATACTTTGTTTTTTAAGGATTGTATATATATATTAAACTAGTCCGTTCCAAGTTTTTAAACAATATTAATTGAAAATAAGGGCTTTCTTTTTTTTTTTTTTTTTTTTGTTTACCGTGTGACACGGGTGCTCCGTAGCGGAGGAATTTACTTAGAGAAGAGAAGAATGTAAACATGTGTGTTGAAAAACAACATTATAGACTACAGTTTCACGAATTTTCTGCTCAATTTATGCCGAAACACTGACATTTATCGTACAATTAATTGGAGGGGATTAAGTGAAATGTTTCTATAGATTAACTTGTATGACCCGAGTTCCAGTGCCGAGTTCAGGACATGAAAATGATGAAATATTCATCACACCGACAAAGTTAAGATACCGAAACAGTTTATAGAACAATGTGGAAAATGAAAGCCGTTCACTTTATTTTTCTCAAAAGAACAGTAGAGCAGTAACAGTTAATGAACATGATGAAGTCAAAGGAGAAATAATTATATTATTGTATACATGTAGACTGTAGTGCAGGGCAGTTGCCAGTACGGTCACTTGAAGAAAAAAACGGAGTTATCCTAACAATTCGTACAGACTGAGGATAATTTCTGCAACAGATCTGTTTAAAAACGGCCCTTTTAAGAGCCATGCATATTTTTCAAAAAGAATCTTAATTGTTTTTGTTCGTTAAATCAAACAGAATCTTATTCTCAACCCAATTTGATATAAAATATTCATTTATTTATTTATATTATTGCACATTTAATTTTATTTCTTAATAGTTAAAATGTATCCTTTCAATGTGTCATTCTCATAGGCTATATGGTGATGCATTATATTCACCCTACATCTGAGGAGCTACCATTTTACTTATTTTATATGGGGGGGGGGGGGGGGGGGGGGAGGGGGTCTTTCAGACCAAATGATTATTTTTATTTGTTGCTAGGCAAGTGATTTCATATTACGTTTAACCATGTAACTTTTTTGAAAAAATGTTTCATATACATGTATATATGTAGGTTTATGAAATATTCATTACATCCCATATATTATCATGATTATAATATTTAATTTCTTATCAGGCCAGCAAATCATATGTTACAATTAAATCCTTTATATAATAATCATTCACTTAATTATTTGAAAAATTTGAATTAGAAGTATATATTCCTTTAAATTTCTAAGTCCAAAATTCCACTGGAATATTTGCATTAAATCAAAAATCCACTGAAATATAAACAATAATATTCCACTGGAAATTTATTGGAAAATCTTTGGAAGTTTCATTGGATATTTCACTGATTTTCCATTGGAATTACACTGTGAAAAATATTCCAGATGTTTTGGATGAAATTCTAATGGGATTCCATCGGAATATTTTTTTCCACTGAATACCAGTGTAATTTCACTGGAAATCCAGTGGAATCCCGTACTCATTTTCAGTAGGGTCACTATTATTTCTATTACAAAATACTAAAATTGTGCCGGACCTTTACAAATTTTGTTGGTCAAATGATAATAACTTAAATCCCTAGGACTTATCACCTTTCAAGAACTCTGTACACATGATACATATACATGTAAAAATTATCATTGATTATTAAAATGATACAGAAATAAAGCTAAAATTAAAAATCTATTTGATCAAATTGTTAATTAACTAGTACATGATCATAATCTGAATGATGTTTTGTGTTCTAATGGTATTACATGTAATATGCTTTAGATTAACATGGTTAATAATGATCTATCACAATAATTTTAAATAGGTGCTGAAACATGGAAGACAGCTTTACCATTCCTAGTCACGTAGATGACCTGACAAAATGTATGTATGAACTACAGCAGGAAGGGACATTCTGTGATGCAGGCCTCGAGTGCAAAGATGGGGTCATATTTGTTCATAAACTTGTTCTATTGGCATGCAAAAGTCCATATTTAAGGAATCAATTGGCGTCTGAAAGTCAAGGTACAAGAGTTTATGTCAGTCTTAAGAATTATTCATTAAAAACAGTATGCTGTTTGGTGCAGACCCTTTATACAGGACAGTTAAATATTTCCCAGGAGAACAAAGTAAATTTTAGACTTTTGTGTCAGACAATAGGGCTTAACAATATAAAATCTGCTGCTGAAAATTTTATTCAGCAAGATCAAAATATTTATGAGGTCCAAAACATAAACTCATTTTGTGCTGTTCAAGTTGAAGAGGAAATATCAGAATCACGGGATGGGATTACAGCACTAGTGGCATCTGTCAATCATGGACCAGATGACAACTTTGTTGACAGTACAAATACTGTTGATAATGTAGAGGATCTCAACTATGACAACAGTGATCCTAAAGTTGATAGTTATATGGTGAAAAGGAGTCAAGATTCAGAAGGAGAAAGGGCGGCCGACAAATCTTTTGATCCGCCCACCATGCCCACAGGAAGAGAAACCAGAAGCAACAAGAGAAGAAAAATTGTCCATAATGAGAACACTTCACAAGCAAAAGACAATGCCACCTCATCTAATGTGGCAGAAATATTGACCATTGCAAGACAGTTGTCTGGAATAGATGAAGCCCAGCCATCTAAACCTGCTTCTTCTTGTCTAGATCAAACTAAATCCAGTTTATGTTCTCTATGTACAAAAAAATTTGTCAGTGAAGAGGAAAATGTTACAGATTCAAGCAAGACAGTTTGTACAGAATGTATGGTTTTATTTAGTGGAGAAACCAATGATGACCAAGAGGTGG